TCAAAATTTTAGAAATCAAAATTTTAATAAAAATCAAAATTTTAGGAATCAAAATTTCCAACAAAATAATCCTCAAAAGAATTTCAATAATAATAGTGAATCGCAAATGTGTTTCTATCACGCTAAATTTGGCAATAGACCACATAAATGCATTCCACCGTGTGAAATGCAAGCTAGTACTAGTTCGGAAAACTAGAAACGCCGCAACAAGTCGTTTTCATAGAGAATTTAACTTTTTCAAAACGATTACATATTCAGGATCGCGTTACAGGAATGAAATTTTTGATAGATACAGGGTCGGATTTGTCATTGATTCCGGTAAATGCCAAGCATAAATCAAAGGTTTCCGACTATGTTATTTATGCTGCGAATAATTCGCAAATAAATACATTCGGAAATCCCCGATTATCTATAGATTTAAGCCTTGGTCAAAATTTGCCTTGGAACTTTTGTGTCGCTTAGGTTCCCTACCCTATTATTGGTGCCGATTTTCTCGATTATTTCGGGTTATCGGTAGATCTTAAAAATAAAAATTTAATAAATTTAACTTCGGGTCGTAAGGCGAATTGTTATTTTAAAGTAGCTACAGTTACAGATATTAGCTCTATTGATAAAAACACACCTTTTTATAAAATAATTTCAAAATATCCGGAAATAACATGCGAAGTTCGACAAGATATCATTTCAAATCATGGCATTTTTCATCACATAGTGACGAAAGGACCGCCAGTAGCTCAACGTCCGCGTCGGCTACCTCCCGACAAACTCGCGGCAGCAAAGTCCCACTTTAAAGCCCTGATTGATTCAGGAAAATGTCGTGCTTCTAGTTCTTCTTACGCATCCCCCATCCACATGGTCCTTAAAAGTGATGATCAGTGGAAAGTCTGCGGAGGCTATAGACTGGTGAACACAGTCACAGTTCCGGATAAATTCCCAATACCCTTTTTACACGATTTTGCTATAAATTTAAACGGTAAAAAATTATTTACTAAACTCGACTTGCACGCGGCTTACCACCAAATACCAGTATTTCCCAAGGATATACCCAAGACTGCAGTAACAACTCCGTTTGGACTGTTTGAGTTCATGTATATGCCATTTGGTTTGCGTAACGCAGGGCAAGCATTCCAGCGGTATATGTTTCAGGCTTTGGGTGATTTAGATTTTATCTTTGTATACTCATAGCTTCCAAAAATTTAGAGGAACATGAGTATCACCTCGATGTTGTATTTCAACGGTTAAAAAAATTTTCTCTCAGCTTAAATTTAAAAAAATGTATTTTCGGTCAAACTAAAATACAGTTTTTGGGACACCTAATCGACGAAAATGGTTTTAGACCTACGCCGGAAAAAGTTCGCGCAATAAAAGATTTTGAGAAACCTCGCACAATACAAGATCTCCGACGTTTTCTCGGATTAGTCAATTTTTATCGCCATAATATCCCACATGCTGCACAAATCCAGCAACCGCTAAATGCATTTTTGCATGATACACGCAAAAATAATAAACGCGAGATTGCTTGGACTCCTGATGCTGAACAAGCCTTTATTGCAGTGAAAGAAGCACTGGCACACGCTACATTGCTCGCTTTTCCGTCTTCCAAAGCATCTACATGTCTGGTAACAGGCGCTTCAGATCTTGGGATGGGAGGGACACTTGAGCAATTTTTGCACAATTCGTGGCAACCACTAGCTTTCTTTTCAAGGAAATTTAATTCGGCTCAAAAAAAATATAGTGCGTATGATCGCGAACTAACGTCAATACACGATTCGGTAAAATACTTTATATATTTTTTAGAAGGTCAAGAGTTCGTCATTTGTACGGACCACAAACCGCTTATCTTTGCTTTTGAAAAAAACCCAGAAAAGGCCTCACCTAGGCAACAGAGACAACTCTCATTTCTTTCGCAATTCACTTCTATTATAGAATATCTTCCCGGTATTGATAACGTTGTAGCGGATGCATTATCTCGCGCAGACGCAATTATTTTTAATTCGGAAATTGAGTTGTCAGAACTTTCCCAAGCTCAAATTAAGGATGAAGAATTAAAACAATTATTGCATGACAATAATTCTTCATTAAAATTAAAAGAACTTGATTGGAATAACGTTTCACTTGTATGTGATGTTTCAGGCGATAATGTACGTCCCTATATTCCGCGTTTAATCCGTAAGCGAATTTTTAATCTCATGCATAATTCTGCTCATCCTGGGGGGAAAATAACTGATCGTTTAATAAGAAAGAAATACGTTTGGCCACTTATGAATAAAAATATTAAAGAATGGTGTCGAGCTTGTCTACATTGCCAACGGGCGAAAGATTCTAGACATACGACCATTCTTCCAGCTCCCATTTCGTAGCACCCGATAGTCGGTTCCGGCATGTTCACATAGACATTATTGGTCCCCTACCGGTTTGCGAAGGGTTTAAATATTGTTTAACTTTGATTGACAGGTTCTCGCGATGGCCTGAGGCCATTCCGCTTAAAGATATTGAGGCAAGGACGGTTTGTCGCGCTTTTTTGATAATTGGATTTCGCGTTTTAGTTCCCAGGAAACACTTTCAACCGATCAGGGTAGCCAATTTGAATCGCGAATTTTCTCTCCGCTTCTTAATATGACAGGTTGTAACAGAATACGTACAACCCCTTATCATCCGGCAGCAAACGGTTTAATAGAACGTTGGCATCGTACACTAAAAGCCGCGATTATGTGTCATAGTAACACCAAATGGACACACTCACTATCTACCGTTATGCTGGGGTTAAGAAATAATATTCTGGATTCGGGGGCTTCGCCGGCCGAATATCTGTATGGAACTACCCTCAGAATACCGGGTGAATTTATACTTCCAGAGGATTTCTCTGCCGACCGTCAAATTTTCCTCGAAGAATTTAGAGAACATATGAGAGTGGTTAAACCAGTGCCCGTAGCACATAAACACAAAAGAAAAATTTTTTTCTATAAAGATATATTTAAATGTTCACAAGTATTTGTCAAAGTAGGCACAATTAAAAAAGCACTCGAATGTCCTTACTCTGGTTCACATAAAATTATTAAACGTACCTCGGACAGAGTTTTTGAAGTCGAAATTAACGGCAAAAATAAACAAATTTCTATCGAAAATTTAAAACCCGCCTTTTTTGCGGACAATAATGATTTGAACGTAGAGCAATCGAGCGATGCACAGACAAATTTATCTTCGACTAAGCAAAATAATGCTACACCAAAGACGTCGAAAGAGAATGAAAATGTGAACGTGAGACCAGTGCTACGCACTTATGTTAATAAAAAAAGGTCTCTTAAAAATTAAAATTATAATTGTTAAAAAAATTTTTTTTTATAACATTAGATAAGAGTAAATTGAAAGACTGATATGACTGCGATATTTTTTTTCTTTAACAAATTCTGCGATATCTCTTTTTATTATTTTTTTAAAATTTTATTTATTTATTTATATTTTTGAAATATTTATACAGATAATATTAAGACTTACCATGGTACTAAATAGTCGATCGACGTCGTAATTTAATCCTTGTATATGTAGATTTATAGTAACACTGACACTTATTACCCTTTTCGATATTTTTTATTTAAAAAAAAAAGAAATCAACTGCGATCTCACAAAATTAAATTTTCACTCTTTGTTTTCACTTTTGTTTTATTAAATTTTTTAAAATATTTTTTTTTTTTAAATGTTAATAATTAAATTAGTATTCCTCAAAAAATTTTCTTTTTAAACTGATGGTTATCACTTAGGGGGGAGTACTGTGGGGATCGTAGTATGATAAGTGTGAGTCCAGAGCGTTTCTCTCTTGCGTTGAGAGAGATGGACTACGACGACTTTTCTCTCACACAACGAGTGAGAGAGAAGATGCGCGTGCGTTTACCCGCGTCGTATAATTTTGTACAGTTGCGTCTGGAACCACGACATGAGTGTCACGTAATTTTATCTTTCAAATAAATACTATTTTAATGATCAACAATTATTTAATTTAACCTTTTTACAATTGTGGAACGCGTGTTAGTGGTGATTCCCTTCTACATAACTTTTAAATAAAAACATTATAAATATTATTTTACCACGAATCCCACAAGATTCCCACAGAATCGCTTCGATTTACAAAAGTTATTGGGTCAACAACATTTTGTGTCTACAGACAGAAAGACACTTTCGCCGGATCATGATTTTTCGATTCAGGGCACCTAAAAACGTGAAGATTTTATAAAAATAGAAAAAGTAAATTTTCGACCAATTATAATACTTTCTCATGTGATGAGAATGTAATGATATGTAAAATGTGTGCATCTTAAATTTATCTACATAAATTAGAAAAGTTTAAGATAATTTGTAAAAACATTTAAAATTGGGCTTTTTTTAGATATCTAATTAAAAAATTAACATATTCTCTTTGTCGAGGTGTCATTTTCTTCAGAATTTTATTAGCTTTTATAAAATAAAAAGAAAAAATTTTAGTTTTTATATTTTTGAAGATTTAAACCGTTTAATAGTCATCGAAAAAGCAGAGGTCGCATAATTTCCGACGGTAGTGTAAATCATCATAATTTCTCTCTTACGCCACCAGTTAGTTATCACACTATCTCGTAAACATAAGCAAACTCATACATAAACATGAACAAACAAAAATATATTATATGTATTTATTTAATTTAATATAAATAATGTAACAAATGTATAAAAATATATTACTAAAATAATAGTTCATAAACAAGGTGTTCATTTCATGACCATTTACGTTCCTCATCATGATACCCTTATATTCAAGATTAAAAAAAGGATTATAACTAAAATAGCCATCAATTATATAAATATTGGTAAAATGAAGACAAGAATTAGTTAAAATTTCTATATAAGAAAAAGTTATTTCAAAAAATACAAAAAACGATTGTTTCAAAAAATCCAAAAAAAATTATTTAATTTACACAAAATTAAACAGGATATGGGAATTGGTAAATATAATAAGATAAAATACCTACAAATTTGGGTTAAAAATGTACAAATATGATATATTTTCTTTATTAATACATAGTCCTCAATTCATTATTCACCGTATGAAATGATTGAAGTAAATTATCTCAGGAGTTTCTTACATTTTCCCAAACATATTAATTGTCCGAATATAGCACTCTTTTGATTAAGAAGAAAAAAATTCTGGATCTTAGTATCTCTATATGTATAATGCTGATAGAATTATTAAATCATTAACAATTACATAATCTCCTTTTCTTTTGTATTAAGAGAAGTTTAGCAGAAAAATATATGGCTCAAATAGACTTAGTGTGTCATTCTAGGGCTAAACTTAAAACAATATTTTGACACTTAAACTGGAGCCTATTTATTTTACATTAAACAGTAGCATAAGATAACTTAAAAATACATCTTCACTTAAATTTTACTTGGTAATTACTCGGATCGAGTGAATGTACATGCATGCTCAATTTATCGTACTCATCACATGTCTTTTTAGTTGAGTGCACAATTTCTAAGAAGAATGTCATGCAACTGATTTATGAAAAAACTATCTTCTTGTTAAATTTTTCAAATTTAAATTTAAAAATCAAATTTAATCCACATTATTGAAGTTGTTAAATAAACACAAGTTTAAAAAAAGTACAGAAAAATTTTAACTTCACTTGATGAGTAATAGCTTAAAATATATAACACTGACACGTGGCGAATAGGAAGCTGTGAGCAATGCTTATTTACAACTTGCTTTACCGGAAAGCTACTCGGTAACAATGTGAAGCGAAAGTTTAAAACTCTCACTCTTGAGCGAGTCTATGCGGTTAACCACAATTTGTAGTTGATTATTTATTTTTGGGATTTCCATAGTCGACGTAAACGCGGACGACTTCACCACTGTATTTTCTCTGACTGGGCATAAAGTAAAAATCTGGCTGCGGTGGAAGCACAGACTGGGAGCTAGAATGTACTTGGTTGGGATGCTTAAATCGTTGCATATTACGACGGTCCTGAGTGTAATAACCCTGAGATTGAGGACCTGAAGAGGAAGCGATTCCTGTGGAATGTCTGTAACCTGGTGCCCTAGGAAGACTATAAGTAGCTCTAGGACCTGGAACCATCGTTCCAATATTATTACGAGAATGTTGCTGTTCTAGGTGTTGAAACTTATGTTGATGCTGAATTTGATCATCTAACAAGATTCCATTAGAGGGACCAATCATTTCCCTAGGACGAGGAAGACTTGACACGGGAGGAGGATGTGCCTTTTCTTCAGTTTCAAAGGCCTCAAAAGCAAAGTTAGTATTTGCACCTGTTGAATAGTCTCTCCATGCGTTCTTTGCAATCAGTCGGTCCTGAAACAATAACGAAGATGTAAAAGTATTCATTTATTTTATCTATTTATTTTATTTATTTATCATTGAGTTAATTTAATAACTAAAAATCTTACGAATATATATTTTCAAATTTATTTAGTCTAAAAACAACGAATCATGCAGGTGGCATATTCTTTTTTTTAGTTTCAGCAATTTAATACAATATTGATAAGAAAAGGCAGTTAATAATGAATTGCCTTACAAGGGGATGGCACGGGATGTTTTTAACATTTTTCTTTTAATTTTATCTAGTAGGGTCATACTTATAAAAAAAAATTTTTCACAAAATGCTAAAACGCACTAGACTAAACAACGGAGAAAATCGCATTTGAAGGTTCGCAGATTTTTACGTTCTTCATGCACTTAGTGCATATATATAATTTAATTATTTATAAAAACATTAAAAAAGTATCTGTGTCAAAATGGAACTATTAAATTGAAGAGAAGTAACCGTTGCACTAAGAGCATAAAAAACGTGAAAATCTGCGAATCTTTAATTCGATTTTCTCCGTTGTTTTAGCGCCTTAGTATTTTGTGAAAAAAGTTTTTTTATATGACCGTACTAGATAGCATAAAATTTTTTTTTCAAATAAACATCCCGTGTCCTTCCCTTATTAGATAGATTAGTTTTGCTCAAGTTTTTAGGTATTTGACACTTGGAATTTTTTTCAGTGATTAGCTATACATTTTGGTGCTAGCTATCTTAAAATTTAATATCAGTGCGTTAGCTTTAGTTATTTGTAGTTGAGGATACATTGACGTGATAGATTAAGTTCCTAAATCAATCTCCTTTCCTCAAAAATCTAATGTTTTTAAAACTCCCTTCTTTGCGCTTCACTTTCTAGTCTATTTTTTTAATTTTATTGGCCATTAGGGGGACCAGGTAAATTTTGATATAATAGTGGGGAGCGAAATTTTAAGACCAAGCTTTTGCAAATCTCTTTGCAAATCACTCAATAAATAATTTTAAGATACTTAATTTTAAAGGGACTTTCTGGTTCCCTTTTCCTGAGAAAAAAAACACGTTTTAAAACTTTTGTAGTAAGAAAAGTATTAAATAAATTGCAAAAATTCTTTTTGCACATTACATAGAAAAAATTAAAAAATTTTTTTTGAGTGTATTTAATTCAATTTCTTAGCTGTAAGTGGCGTCTTCTAAAAGGTGCCTTTTTTTTGGTGTACGGGATTCTGGACAACTTGTAATATATAATTTCAAATTACAAACGCGAATCTCTTAAATTAGGTTTATTTCAGACAATAAACCTAAAACAAATTTTTTAGTTGAACATATTCATATGAACATTTTTCTCAAAAATTCGAAAAACGTCATGTTTTTGGGGCAATTTACCCCCGTATAAAAAAGCAGAGAGTAGAAATATGAAGTTGCAAAGGTTTATCCTCTAGCTTTTTAACTAAGGAATTGAATGGTTTTTGGATTTTTAAAATCGGTTTAGTAGATTTCGAGAAAATCCGTGCAGCAGTTTGAAAAATGTGTTTTCAAAGAAAACCCGTTCAGTTTTCATAACATAATACACTGAGCCAGGACTATCAAACAATTTTGTATCACAACTTTGATTTTTTTACATATTTTTTTTAACGTAATTTTATGATACTAAGAAACATTTTCAAGCAAAAAAAATCAATTTTTTTGGAATTCTAAACCAAAATGTCCCCTTAAGAGGTGAAACTCGTGTAAATGCACGTTTTTTCAGGAATTTAAAAAAAAACTGGTAAAGTTTATTCAATTAAAATTAATTTAATTTAATTAAAATTAAAAAATATTTTGCGCCTTGCAGCCTACAGGTCACAAATATCAACTAAATTCGAAATTCAAAATTTTTGCCTTTATAATACGCAAATACGCTTTGCATGACGAAGAGAAAACTAAAAAAATTGTTTTTGAAAATCTGGGACCATTTTGAAAAAATCACTTTTTTAAATAAACAATGTTCAAAAACAATTGTTAAAAAAAATTTTTTTTAATGGAGCTCGTTATACAATAGCCAGTAACATAAAAAATATTTATGGTAAGTTTGATTAAAATTGGTTAAAAATTGGATGAGCTACATTCCACGGCGCGCGAAAAAACACGTTTCGAGAAGAACGCGTTTAAAGTTTTCGATACATAAAAATAGTGTTTTAACTATTCCCTTAAAGACGATATGTATTCGAAAATAAATATTGCACTAAAACTAAGATTTACTATCACTTGCTTATGGTGCTTGCTAATGACAATTAATAAAATTACATTGATAAGAAACAAGAAGAATACAGAGATCTCCCTATTGAAAAAACACGTATAATTATAATAATACGTATAAATATACGTATAATCTATATTTTATAATATTTAGGTATATATTAATAAAAAAAAATATATTCCATATTTATATATTCCTAAATATTAAAAATTATAAATAAATAAAATGATTTTATCACTCGGTCGATATTAAATAAAAAACATGAAGATAACGATCACTCCGAGTCAAGGCAAACAAAAGAAAACAAAACTATTTCTTTTTACGTTTCAGCAAAATTACGTTTCAAATTCAATGATAAATATTACCAACAAACTTATGGCACCCCTATGGGTTCCTCTATATCAGGTTTATTTGCTGACATTGTCATGGAGGACCTTGAAACTTCATGCATAATAAAATTATCTTTCAAACCATTTTTCTTTTTTAGATACGTTGATGATATAATCACTTGCATTCCAAATGATAAAATTCATGAGATGGTACATATTTTTAATAGTTATGATGAAAGATTGCAATTTACGTTTGAAACTTCAATTAATAACTCTATAAATTTCCTGGATGTTCTTATTATTAAAGATAATAATAAATTAATTACTAACTGGTATAAAAAACCTACATTCTCTGGACGAACTATTAACTATGAATCCAAACATCCTTTTTCTCAAAAAATTGCCATAATATACAACCTCGTTGACAGAGCTATAAAGTTGTCGAATAAAAAATTTCACCCACAAAACATTGAATTTATTACAAAAACATTAATTAATAACAATTATCCTTTGGATTTTATTAATAAGCACGTTAAAAAACGTATTTGTTTTATAGAATCTAATTTACGAAATAAAAAAACTGATATTTATAAGATAGTTCCAAAAGTCTTTTTGCCTTATGTTCCTTTTTTATTTGAAAAAACATCTAAAAATCTTAATAATTATAATGTAATTGCGTCCCAACTAATAACAATAATATGAGTCATGAACTCATTATTAAAGGGAAAGATAAAAATAAAAAATCTGAGAACACTAATACTATTTACAAAATTAATTGCAAAAATTGCTCTGCTTCTTATGTTGGCCAGTCAAAAAGGATGGTTGGTGTTCGTATTAATGAACATAGAATATCCAAGAATAATGTTATTGCTTCTCACAAAAATTCATTTAACCATGATTTCGAATGGGACAACTACCAAATACTTGATAGAGAAATTGATTACAACAAACGTTTGATATCCGAGATGATTCATATTAATTTGCAAAAGAAACCAATTAACAAAATGGAAGACACACAAAATCTCAATAATAGTTACATTTATTTCCTCAACGATAAGAAGTCTGTTTAGCCACCTGTTTCAGTGTGCACTGACAGTTCTCTTACTTGTATATATATAGTTGTATTTTTGTTTACTGACGGTCCGTTGACCCCCTCATTATATAATTGTCAAGCCACGTGCTTCTACTCAGTGTTTAGATAGACTGCCTATCGTACAGACGTCTATTCCTCTCCAATTATTTCATCTTCAAATGAATTACTTGAAGAAAATTTTCTTTTTTATTGGTAAAAACCTTTTTACTGTACTTTTTAAATTATATATGTAAAATTTTAATTATTTGTTAATAAAAATCTTGTAGTTTCTGAAGAGGGCAGCGGTGCTGCTGAAACGTAAAAAGAAATAGTTTTGTTTTCTTTTGTTTGCCTTGACTCGGAGTGATCGTTATCTTCATGTTTTTTATTAAAAATTATATATACGTATAATTCTTATTTCAAATTCGTATGTCTTATTATACGTGTTTTTTTCAATAAGGCTCGTTCTCATTAACTACTATCCGCGAAAAAATTCAAGGCCCCTGAAAAATGATAAACTTTCACTTTGAATAATCCTTTTAAAAAAATTGCTAGAAAAAAACGGAAACAATATTTGGAAAGCTTAGAATCTCACAAGCTTGTATACTTCAGGCCGTTTCTCCAAAAAAATTTTTCTTTCTGACAGTCGCAAAAATAGATCAAAATGCACCCTATTTTTTGTTACTTTAGAAATTACCTGACTTTGCATGACACATTTATATGAAAATCTTCATTGAAAAAATTTGAAAATAGTATCATTTATTCATTAAATCCTTCGGAATAAAGCCATTTTTGAATTTTTAAAACATATTAATTATCATTGTTTTTATTGTAAAAAAAAGACAGTGTTATCTCTCGATGTACTGGGCCGATTTTAATGAATCAAATTTCTGTGCATAAATATTAAACTTAACAATTAATTCAATTTGTTGGAAAAAGTGTAATTATTGTTCTTTTCGCGATTTTGGTCATTTTTGTAGACAGGTTTTTTTTCTAGAAACAGGTGAAAAAGGGTAGTGGTAGGCTAAATTTTCGTGAATAGAACTATTAAACCTGCCATAAAAAAGATTCTTTGCCTGGACTCAGAATTTTTTTCACGAAATATTATCAGTGCTGTATATATGTTGTGATTAAGGGCCCAAAAATAATAATTCGTATGTTATTTATAAATGACATTTATTTTTTAATAATAATTATTATAATAAATACAAAGAATAATTAATGTTAATAAATTTTTTATAACAATTAATACTTAAAGTTTATTACTGTACCAATTAAAAATATTTTTATAGTTATTTATATATTTTATATTTATTTTATATTAAATATTTTAACCATATAAAATTTTTACTTATGTCACGTCACCGTAACTTTTAC